TCTCTCTCTCTCTCTCTCTCTCTCTCTCTCTCTCTCTCTCTCTCTCTCTTTTTCAGGTAGTAGTTTGCTTTTCAGATATGCCTCTTACCAGGGGTGAAAGAAAGGTAGAGGTAGCCTCTTCCCTGTTAAGGGCTGAACAGAGTTCAGCTTCACCCTCCTCACATCATGGGAGTTACTATAGAGCTCCCAAGGACAGCAAAAACTAAAGCTATTTTATTGTCCTTTTGCAAATGTTAGAAGACTCATGGCTCGATTCCTGTAACCAATATGAGCTAGAGAAATTGGATTGGCCCACAATAAAATTCACGTGACCTGTAAAAAGGGATCTTTGACCTTAGAACCCTTTTCAAATTCCTTTTTGTTTTTTGGGTGGAGGGGATCGGTGTTTTATTGTGAGTTTGTAAAAGTGTTATCATTCACCAAGAACTCAGTAGGTCACTCTAATAACAAATGCTATTGATCTGTCCCAATCTGGATTTCATTGCCATCAGGTTTCAGCAAGTATAAAGTTTATGAACCATTCCTCTGTCAGCATGGCTCTCTTAGAATACATATAAGTATCATGGAAGGAATAATTCAGTTTTGAGTGTGATAGAAACAGATGAGTTCTTTTGCCCACTCATTGACACAGTGTCAAGAAGGAGTCCTGTTGGAACCAGTGCTTAGGATGGTGTTTAATTCAGCAGGGAGCCAAGATACAGTAACAGGACACAGGAAAGGATATGATGTGTGTAGACACAAGAAAGAATTTCGGTTTATGGTCATCGACCTGTCATTTGCCAAAAGACTAAGTTAGAGAAATAAATGACTTTCGGTTCTTTATACATGCAAAGGTTACGTTTAGTTGTTACAAAAGTTTTGCTGTTGTATGAGCTGAAAGAAAAGCATAAGCAGTTTTAAAAAATAAATCACTCGATTGGCTTCAGAAAAATACTTTAGTTCTTATTTCATTGATTTGAGCTTTTGACTCAAGATCAGAGAATGAATCCAGCATAAAAACAAAATGAAACAAAATAAAACAACAAAAATCCCCCAGAAAACAGAAACAAACCATTTACCATGGAAATGGCATTTCCCTGCCAGCTAACTTCCCCTAGTCTTTATTGCATTATTTTTGAAATGCCAAGAGAGTAGCTTTGGACATAGTGTTTGCTGTTCAACTAAACCGTAGTATTCAATTGCTTGCAACCATTAGCTAAACACCATTATTTGACAAACTCCCTCAAGAGAGACTTTATACCTTCTGAGGTGTGTCTAGCACACAGAATCAAGTAACGATCAGTTAGGCTGGGGTTGCACCCCTTGGAGAAAAATACATAAACTTTTGCCCAAAGGAAGGAGCCTCACATAATCTTCATTTTTAGAAAAACACACAGTCTGTCCTGCTTCTAAGACTGCTTCCCTGTTCTCAGAAATAAACAGCAGGACAAGCTACAAAAGAGGGCTCCAAAGCCCCTGAACTCTAGATTTTTTTCAAGGGGGATCAAGAGGTGAAGAGAGGGAAAAAATGCAAAGATGAAATGGTAATGATATACAGCATGAAGAAAAGAACCCTCGTGGAACTTGCTAGCAATTTTCACCAAAGCAGCAGACCCTTGAACTGACAAAAATTCAGTACAATATACACAGTAATGAACAGCTCCACGATTGCAGGCCTGCTTTGTAAAGCCAGAAAGAAAAAAAAAAGTAATAATTATAATATCCCCAAACAGAATTCTCATAAGAGTTGAGAAAAACCAGAGTGAAAGCAATGTCAGCTAAGGTCTTAGCTAAATTCCACTCCTAATGGCCCCCAGTATTTAAGCTATCATGGATTAAAGCCATGAAAATAAAAATTTCAATTTGAAATTTCATTAGCATGTTGCTAAAAATGATCAAGAGAAGCATCGACACTGTAGGCTTTGTTGATAATCGTTGGAAAACTGCTGTTTCATTTTACAAATCTCCACCTGCCCCCTTCCTTCTAAGATCTTCTAGTTAGGAAAAGCCAAACTAAAGACACTGGCTAGGCTGTCCTAATGCTGGTTTCTGGAATGTTGTAGATCTTCCCTGCCTCCCTCTCTTTCAGTCCCCTGGAAAACAGGACTCTGAGTGAGGAGGGAAGCAATTAAGGGCTTCCGAACAAAAAGCCTCCTCCTTCCTAAGTTCAAGCGCCCACACACCAGGTGAATTAGCTCCTTTTCCGGAGCCGAAAGAGGTGCTTCAGCCATTTTCCTCCCGGGACCCAGAAGGCTTTACTTCTGGCAAGTGTCGGTCAAGCCGGGGATGGCAACTGCTTCCAGTTGTACAACCGGAGAAGTCAAACCTATCTAGCTCAGCCCGGAGCCTGGAATGCTTTGTCAGGAGACTCTGGGCTGGAGAGCTGCAAAACAGTTCCCAGGCAGCCTCAGGGTAACCTGGAGTCCCTGAAGTGCTCCCAAGTACAGAGACTGGCTCGGTTTCATAGGAATTCTGATATCCGGGAACAAATCCACTCTCCACTCGGGAGTTGAACTGTGTCCCGAAAAGACCAATTCTCACCTCCGACTGACTGGTCTGGGTGTGCGCATCTTGGGGTGGTGGTCACGGTTCCCTGTGACTAAGAATATTTGCCCTGTCTGCTGAAGAGTCACTGACCATTGGCTCGCTGGAAAGATAGTGTCCTTGCTCCCCTTTTGCCCACTCCCTCTTTCCCTTCACAACCCAGGGGAGAGGTGCAGGCTGGGTTATCCTGCCACGGTCACCAACACCAGGGCTGTCTTAGGGGCACGCAGCTGCGCCCGACCAGTGCGAGGGTGGTTAGTTCCCGAAGCTTCCAGCCGCTGGTCCTGGGCAGGCGCGCGGCGGGGGCGTGGAGGGCAGAACTGCGGGGACTGGAAGGAAACGCCGGGCGTGGGAACTGGCGCGCCGGGCTGCTCCTCTGAGGCTACTCCTTGTCGTCCACAAAGTCCTCAAGCTCCTGCAGCACACGCAGGCGGCCACTGGCGTCTATGCGACGCTTCTCGCGGATGAGGTCCTCCAGGCTGTGGAAGCGGGCGGTGTGGACTTTGTTCTCCTCCAGATGCACCTTGAGATAATACTGCTGTTGGGGGGGCTGCGTTCCTGCGGGGACCTCCCCGCCAGCCTTGAACTCGCGCTTTCCAAAGCGGCACCAGGCAGCGAAGCTCTCGGAGTTCGTCCAGCAGATCTCCTCGCTCTTGAGGCCCAGGTGGCCACAGGCGTTCTGCACCACCAGCTCGGCCACCAGCGGGCGGTAGCGGTACCAGCTATTCACCACCCGGCCCACGTTGGCCGCGCCCGCCTGGTACAGGCTGTCCTGGCGGATCTCGCCTTGGTGCAGGTGGATGATCTGCCCGCCGCCCACGTAGACGGCCCAGTGAGGGGCTGGCGCGGGCTGCTCGGTCGCCGGCTGTAGCCACAAGAGCTCCAGCAGGTCGCCTGGCTCGCAGATCGCGGGCAGCGCAGTGACCGCGTAGACACTCAAGTCGGCGCCCTGAGGGCCGCCGGTCACTTTGGAAAAGATGCATTCCTGGCCCCGGAAGGCGGAGAACTGAGTCTCGTTGAGGACGAGCTGGTGCAGCAGGTGGTGGTGGTGGCGGCTGGGGCTCTCTGGACAAGGGCTGCAACCTGGGGGGCCTTTCACACCAAACTTGTCCGGCTGCCCGCGTTCGTCCAGGTCCTCCTCCTCATCCGAGAAGAAGTAGGCAACCCCGACTCGCAGCTCGTCCTTCTCAATCCCAGATGGGTCCCCAGTGGGCAACTCGCTGTAGTTGAGGTGGGTGATGCGGTCCAGTTGGTTGCCCATCAATGACGCGGCGAGGCCAGGGCCAGCAACTGAGATCTGCCGAAGGAGAGAGGATAGACACCATCAGAGTCCGGCTGACCCTCCTGGTGTCCCTTCCCCAAGGGGTTCAGTTCCCCAGGGACTTGCAGCTTTCCTAATCAACAGACAACTTTGCAGATCCTCCCTAGGGTAAAGAAAAAGGGGGGGGGGACACCGAAGAAGCCAGAGCAGACACCATACCAGCTCAGCCAGCCTCTGACTCTGCCCAGGAACCCTGCCCAATAACTTCCACAGGAGAAACCGCTGTCGGGCTAGAAAGCATGTAACGTTCAAGTGGGCGAAGAGAGCGCAGCTTGTGGCAGGGTGGGAGATGGATACCCAGAAGAAAGGAAGGAAGGGTGTCAAGAGAAGCCCCAAGGCCCGAAGCTAGAGCAAGCTGAGCTCACATTGTGGTCGCCCATCCTCTGCAGCCCACCTACTCCTTTTGGACTGGGTCACACCCCATGCCTGACAGCAGCTTGCACAATGCCAGACTCGCTTGCAGGCATTCACTTGACATCAGCAACATTTTGCACACTTGGGGTCCAGGCACTGACAGCCTGGTACATACACCCACAATGCTAATGTCATACACCCACAGTGAATTATCTTGGAGACCACACATTGGCACCATTTACCTCCAGTTCTTACACAATTCCGGACGTATGCCTGCACACTTGCCAATGCACGTACACTCAAGCACCGGGGCACACCTGCCCACGCAGGCAGGTACACTCTGCCCTCTCCTTGCTTGCCTTTTCATAGAGCCAATCGGACTGCGCCAGGGCGAGGCTGCTCTGTCTAAAATAACCTAACAAAGAGACAGGGGAGGCAAGGCGAAACCCATGGTGAGTATCAATAGTGTGTGTGTGTGTGTGTGTGTGTGTGTAAAGAGGTCTACTTTCAACCTACAGAGCCCCTCTCTTCAACCCAGCACACAATCCACACAATCGGACGAAGAAAGACCATTTTTTTTTAAGGCAAAGAAAGCGGCTTTTCCGTACCGGTGATTTCCCTGCGCCCGAAACCCCAAACTCCTTTTAAAGTCTCCAGGTCCCCATGGGTGCTGTGGAGGCGGCAGCGGCGAGTGGGTCCTAGAGGCGCGTGGGACTGCGGTTCAGATCTATCCGGAGAAAAGCAGTGAGGTGAGGTACCCAGAGATGCGGGTGCGCTCCGTGTCTACGCTGGCTTGGGCGTCTGCTCCACCTGGCAAGTCCTGGCTCCACTCCGCTTTTCCTACAGCCGCGCGGACGACTCTTAAATCCCCTGAACAGCCGGTTTCCAGGCCCGCCCCGGAACGCGCTCATTGGCTAGGATTCGCCCCAGAACCCTGTCAATCTCTGCTGGGGGTGGAATTAGAGGCGGGTTTTCTTTGTGCTCCGCCCTGCCCAGCCCCCAGCATTCCCCAGCCTCACTGCTTTGCGAGCGTAGGTGTGAGCACCCGTGGGGAGCACAAGAGGGGCGTGGCTAGTACACCCAGCTGCTCCTTTGCAACCGAGTCCCTAGTAACTGAGAACACGATCCGCCCGCTTTCGTGTTCTGTATTCTAAGGGGACAGATTCCAGAAGGAAAGCTGAGTTTGGGGGTGGAAAAAGAAAAAGAACACGCTGCGTGGCCAAGGCATTGTGAGTGGCTAGGAACCGGGAACCACGTATTTGAGGCTGCTTTGATGGGACTTCGGAGTCCTGCTTGGCTCCCGGCTGTCGCGCAGTGGCTTCTGTTCCTGTCAGTCACAGACGCCTTAGAAATTGCAGGATGGCGCTCAGCGCCTGTCCTTTGAGCCAAGTGAAAGTGCTGACCCAGCGCCGGGGCCGGCGCCTGGTTTTAAAAGGAGAACCATGTAGGTGTCAAAGGCTACCAGAAAGTCTGAGCTTTGCCTGGCACCTTCGCTGAGTGTGCCTTTGTCTTCAATCTCCCATTTCCCATGAAAGGGCTGAATCTCAAACGCTAGCGGATATTAGTGCACGAAAGTGTTTCCCAATTCCAGAACTGTCCGAGCTAAGGGAATTGTGTTTGGTTGTGTGTGTGATGGGGAAAGTGTCTATTAGTCCTTAAAGACGGAAACTCAGTGAACGGACGCGCTAGGGATAATGGATGCTACGAGGTGACTTGGTTTCGTAAAAGGAAATTCTAGACAGTTTCTAAACTTTACTGCTTTAAGCTTTGGAGGAGTTCTTAGACTTTCTGGGTCAGGTCTTAATGCCACTTTTACATTGAAGGGCTTCGGAGATGTGTCTGGCTTCTGAGAGGATTCTGTTTGTCTCTCTCTCTCTTCGCCCTCCCGCCATGTCCCCCCCCTCCTCCTTTCACCCTGCTCCTCTCTCTTAGCCTTCACCATAGCGCCCCTCCCTTTCTCTTCAGGGAGCTGTTGACCATAATGGAAACTCAGACCACTTCATTTCATTACAAATCTGAACCACATGTGTGCTTTAGGCTTGCAGACTGCACAGCTGAGTTCAGAGCCTGCCTAGCAGACAGGGAATGGGCTTCATCAGTATTAACCAAAAGGAAAATCGATCACAGTGGCCACCTTCCCTCTGCCTAGAGGTTCAAGTAGGCAATTTAACCCCCAGACTTTTATAGGGTATTCACTAAAATCGGATTTGTAGCAAATAAGGAAATATTCTAGGGTCAGTCAGCAACAACAACCTCGTCAAAGTTTAGAGGAAGTTTAGTTTTTAAATAAACTACAGTGTTTGTTGATAGACTAAATCTTGTTTTCACAGTATGAGAAACAGCAACAACAAAGACAAGTGTTTCAAGTAAGTTAGTTGTTTGCCCTAAGCCCATAGAATGTGCAGGCTCTCAACCTTTCTCTGCTGGGCTGTCTGCCCTATTCTTTGCAAGGTGCATAGCCTCCATCTTCTGTTCAGGTTTGTGCTGTTTTCATGAATGTTGTTGTCTGCCTTCATAGCATGCAAGTGCAGTGATTTATCAAAATAGAGACTTGATAAGTATTGCTGAAAAAAGACTGGCTTTAAATCAGTCGCCTGTAGAGTTGTATTTATTTAAATTAGGTCAGAAAATTGGCCAGTGTCCAAGAAGTGGTTTGAATCAGAATGGCACTCATAGACTCATACTTTGAGAAGGGTTAGGAAGCATGGCCAGGTTAGAAGAGGTGTATCTCTGTGGGTGATCTCTGAGATTTCAGAAACCCAGGCCAATCCCAGTTCTCCCTCTATCTCTCTGTCTCTGTCTGTCTTTCTCTTTCTATGTGTTTCTCTGTGTCTCTCTCTGTCTTCTTTCTTTCTGACTCTGTCTCCCTTTAATTTGTCCTTGTAGATAAGAATGTAAGGTCCCTGTATAAAGTAACAACCTCATCTTGAGTGTCGTGGTCCTCCATAGCTAACTTATGATATTGTATCTGAGTAGGTTTTGCTACCAAATTATTTATCTGTTGTTATCACAGAGTTAGTCCGCCTATTTGAGGGCCAGGGACCAGCAGAAAAAATCAAAAAGAACCCAAATAATGATCCCAAGATGGGAGGAAATAGGGTTGACAACCTTGGAGAGGCTGCAAACCAATTCTTGTACCAGCCTTCATCTGTCTCTTTCTCTCTCTAATTTTTCTTAGGGCCTTCACTGACCTATTTCATGCTCTCTTTAACCCTCCTTGTCTTGTCTATGTAAAGGCAACCTTCTTCTTTAAGGGCTGTACACAGTCAAGAGCTGTACACAGCCTTTTCTATTGTAATAGAGTAAATCAAGTCCATTAAGGATCTTTGCGATTTTAGGAGGTCTCTTCAGACAGTGAAACAAGTACTAATCACAGGCTTTAAAAGCACCTTTAATATATGCTATGTGTAACAAGCAGCTCATATTTTGGTTAGGAAGTCAACAGAGTTAGTTGAACAAGTAATTTATGAAATCAAGAAGTTTTGTTGTTCTTACTATCAACTGGGCTTTGAGATGCCTGGAAGACATTTGAACTGATATCTGAGAGGAACACATTAAAGGTAGCTCAGTTCTTGATTTTTGCATAGCTGTATTTTTAGGGTTCTATTCCCAAGGTCAATGTTGCACACCCGTGTAGCCTGCAGGCCTTTTAGAATACCTGTTGTGTCTCATACTATCCCAGAGTGCAGAGAGGGCAGGCTGCTCTTTGTTTCTTAGTATCCTAATGCTCCCAAGGATATTCCATGTAAAACATTGTTACTTCATGGATTTTAAATGGTAGCATGCAGATTTTGAGTCTCTCTTCCATTCCCTCTCCCCTGCCAGGTTAACAACCTGATTATTTTATTCACAACAGGGGAATAACTATTTGGTGTGCGTTGGGGGGGGGACTCTGAATTATAATGAAACAGAGGAAAGAAGGAAGCTAAGAATAGACTGAGGTCTATGCATTTACTTTATGTAAACTTTGGCAATTACAAAGAATCTAGTATTTGGAAATGTTCATGTTCACCACAAGATATCGTTTGTAAATTGTTTTGTGTTCATCTTCTAAGCACATGTCCCCTGCTTCTATCTAGAAAATTGCAGAGTCATCAAAAGTTAGTAGAAGATAGTTGTTAAAAACTCAACTGGAAGCCAACTAAGTCTGAACTGTGCTTCAACACTGGGAAGCTCACTGTGCCTGTCAGTTTCTCATTTGTAAAGGATAGATAATAATACTGTCTGCCTCATGGGGCTGCTGCACATTTGTGGATATGACCACAGCACTGGGCACACAGACTCTTCATCAGTGTTATCTTGTTGCTATTATTATTAGTAGAAGCAGGGGGTGGGGGTGGGGCATCCTATTCTTCAGCTATGGTAACAGCTATAGCCTGGGTGTCCAAGGCTGTCCCTACCCAGGCTATGCAATTGCTTCTAAGATATTGGGGAGCCCTGTGAGCATGCTGAGAGTAGGTCCACACCTAAAACTCCGTGCATTTGTGTATGTGAACTCTAGTACTGAACATACCTGGTTACCCAGATTTTTGAATCATTTCAATGAACAGTTTCAAGTATGAGTAATAGGAATGGGGAAATCTTAGAGAGACTAAAGAGTCATCTATCTAAATGTCACTCTTTATTAGTGTCATCTTCCTTCTTTCCCTCTTTGTTCCTTCTTCCTCAGCAGAGAAGAGCCTTTCCTTCATATTTTACTGACTTGGCCCTTGGGTCCTTGGGTTCTGGAGTTTTTGGATTAGGCTGTCATCTTTCAGCTGACCCTGGAAGAAAGGACTCAGGAGTATGTGTTTTCCCTGAGCACTGATTTCTATCACTGTTTGCTAAGCAATGCTTTTGTTTTTAATTATCTGCCCTACTTTTAGCATGTATCACTTAGTGAAATAAACTGTCCTGTTTCCTGTCCTTGGCTTCCTCAGGCAGTTGGCACACTTACCCTGATCTGTATTGAAGAATACAATGTAGCCACTTGGGAAGTGAGCCTGTACTATAGCTTCAAGGAGCCCACTGCCCTTACTTTAGGGAACCCTACCAAACACCAAGACCTGTAGTGCAGTGTGTGTGGAAGTGAGAAGAACTATTCGCTCTCAGACTGATCTTCTGAAAGGTTAACATGAACTTTTCTTTTTTACTTGGGCAAGTGTAGAGGACCCATGGTAGAAATACTAAGATCTCTTAAATGGAAACATCATTAGATAGAAGAGGTAAGGATTCCTGAATTTGGCTTTGGTAGGAAGACATGAACTGTATTCGGTGAAGACTATGGAATATTTGTGATTATCTATAGTGACAGCTACTCTATACTGATTGTTCATCTTAAAATATGTTATTTGTATGCTTTTCCTTCTATTAATGTCTTCTTGTATTCAAGATTGACTTACCTGGAGTACACGTGGCATTTCAGCAAGTTCCTGTCACCACGATACTTTCGAGGGTGGTGGTGGTAATGGTGAGCTCAAACTCAGGTCTATGAGACTGGTCTATGACAGATCTCCAGAACTTAAGGAATGAACAGTGACTGTGTTGTCCTAATTAACTCCCATCTCAGGTCTACCCTGTGTGCTCTCTAAATTCCTGTAGTATCCCTGTGACTAATTTATTCACTCTCACTAAATATCTTGTCTGCCATCTTATTTTTCTAGTCTACGTGAATGGCAGGGTAACCTCAGAGTGAAAAGTAACAAGAACCATGCTTTCTGCAACTGTTCTCATTTATCAGTACTCAAATGTTCTACGTTTTCTTAATTGGCCTCCTAGGATTTGAGATTTTCTCCCACCATTTATTGTTATTTTTGTTTGTTTGTTTGTTTTTCTACAGTTTCAGTTCTCATCTACAAATGAATGGTTGTAAAAGTAACTTTAGCGACATCTAATCATTGAATCCCTAAAGACTCCTGAGTACTCTCCGGAAGAGCCT